AAAAAAAAAAAAAAAAAAAAAAGGCGAGCTTGCTTCTTATTCCCGTGTTCAATCTCTTCCATCTCTGCCTCGCTCGTTGTCACCTATGTTGAAGAAAGGTTTGGAACCCTGTAGAGAATGAAGAGGGGCCAAGCATCTTCCTCTCAACAGTGCTTCTTGAGGCTCCACTCTCCCCGTACGGCCCCGTTAGCCTGGGCGAGGGGATAAGGAATAAGGATTGAATGAAGCCCCCTTCCTTAGCTCTCTGCCAGGGACTGTAAAGGGGTTAGCTTTGTAAATGTGTAGAGCCAAGTGTAGTGTGGTGTAGTAGTAAGCACTTCTAGGCCCCTTCCCGGCTACAAGATGACTCCAGTGCTTTGGGTACTACGGACCCTCTGCCATCCATTGCAGCAGAGCCGTTTCATGAGCGGGGGTGCTAAGCGCAATTCTTTAAATCAACCGTTGAATCAAATCGATTTTTTTTTTAGATATCAAAATCGAATCTCGCTAGATTCATCCATCTTTCTATTCATAGACTAAAAAAAATGGATTTCAGTAGCGTGAAGCCCCAAATCCTTGATTTGGCCAGGAAAGACCGCACTGCTTTGGGCCCAGGAAGCGAAGGGAATGAGCTCGTTCTTCTCCACACTTCTTTTTTTGATCTGTGTCCGTTCCGCGCGCGATTGGCGCTTTGTTCTCCTCTTATTCTTCATTGAACGGTTCGGATGGACTTCGTCGTTCTTTCCCAACTCAAACTGAAAAGGCTGTCTCTAATCGAGATGTCGATTCGTTTTCCGCCCCCAATGAGATGGGGAATTAGTAACCCCCTATCGTTTGGCCCTCAATCTTTCTGAATCGAGGCCCGACTTGTGTCGTTCCAACAACCAGCGGGGAGCACCTCAATATACGATCGCGCGCAGTAACTGGGAGTCTATTACACCTCAGGCCAACTTCAATTCACCAAACCAAAGTTCATCTCGTGTAGTGATTGTGGACTCATACAAGGGAGAAGACGTTTAATGTATCAGACTCGACCCTATCTTTCGGAGCATGCACTCCCATCCATGTCGCAACTGATTCGATAAGCTACGTGTCCGGTGCACGGAGAACTGCCTTCGGTCTCCCAAACGGACTGACTTACTCGTGGCAACCTTCCGACCGCCCAACGACCTATAACGCTAGTCACTACTCCCACTGGGGCTAGGAAGTAAGCCCTACAACCCAAAGCGGCGAAAAACAAATAGAATTTGCTACAAAAATCGGCTAACAGGGGTATTCCTGCGTATGAGAACATAGTAATGGAGAAGGTAATAGTCGAAATAGGATTCGTTTTGGCTAGAGCGCCCAAATCCGCTATATATTTTACACGGGGTTGCCGTAATGCTAAAACTATAGCGAATGCATCTGTCGTCATTAATACATAAACCGAGATGCCAATTAGTAGTGATTGAATTCCTTCTATGGTTCAACATGAGAAACCAGTACGAATATAACCTACATGTCCAATTGAACTATGCTAGAGGTCTTTTGACTTTCGTTTGGGCCATGGCGGCCAGTGCTCCTAAGAGCATAGAAGCAATGCTGCAGAAAAAGAAGATTTATTGCAATGTAGCTCCATAGAAACCATAAATAGAAAGACGTGAAATATTAGCAAAAATAGAGATTTTAGGCGCAATAGAAAGGAATGTTGTAACCGGGGTGGGTGAACCCTCATAGATATCAAGTGCCCACATATATAGAGTCAAAAGAGATATGGGGTCCGAAGGGTAGGGGGTTTTTCTTCGGGGCTTGAGAGATGGAATAGATAGGGCCCCACAAGTTGAGAATTCACCGCTGTGGAATTCACACGAAAGGGAACGAGGAATGATCAATGAAAAAAGTGCTCTCTGAACTGAACGTGAAAGTTGTTTTCCATCAGACGGCTCTTTCCGTAACTCCACTCTCGACTTGGATTATATATCCAAAAAGGTCCGCTATCGGCTACTCCACACGCTGCCGCCTAGCAGAGGCATGGTTATCTGAAGTGGATTCTCTCTTTTCTAGTGGATGCCGAACCTGCTGCCCCATTGACTAAGAAGGGGGCGGGCGCAGCAGCTACATGGACCCCTTCCTTTTGTTGCCAGCACTTTCTCAGGCCAAGCCGGAATTCTTGATGAGAAAGGGCAGGCAAAGCCCGAAGACTGCTATCCTACCTAATAGGCCAACGGCCAGAACGAGGAGAGGGCCCGACAATCATACCACCGCTTTCGAAAAAGCGTGTTCCCTTAAGATAAGATGCACTGTAGGCCATCCTCAGCCTTCTTCATTTTTTATGAAAAAGAAATCCAATCTCGATCTCCAAAAGCGTTTTCCTTCCCCTCCCTTCGTCGAGCCTTTAATGGTTGGGGTAAGCATTTCCTTATCTGAACTTGGCGGGCATTCTTTACTAGCATGATTCAAAGAAAGAGGGGTGTGAACATAGGCGATGATTTTCAGGTCCTAGGCCATGCGTTCAATACAAAAGAAAGCTGCAGGGATGACAAAAGGAGGTTTCCTGTCTCGCACTGAAAAAGAAACAAAGAGGAATAGAATAGACATCCCTTTTTCTGTCTATGTATTCTTTATCATCTCCCTATTTCTTTGTTTTGATATCGTTATACCTCTCTCTAAATCAAATTGAGAAAGAATGGATCCTATCCCCTATATCGAACACTAAATCCTATCTATTGATCGAAAGATCTTCGTCAAATACCGGACTTTGCCTTTTCTTTTTTTTAGGAATTCCTCATATCCAAAGCGGCTTACCACAAGCACCCCACCTCATACAACTAGTTGGGGGGGCTGGCTGTTTGCCTTTTGAATCAAACAAAGTCAAAAGTCAGTAATAGGGGCTGAATAGCTACTTTCTTTCATTCTCAAGGAAAGCGAAGAATCCACCTTTAGTCAATAGGAAGGAGCCCTACTTCATGAGTTGCCGGGCGTAGCGCACTGCAGGCTAATCTCTCATTTTTTTAGCTTGACTTTACTAAACTAATAAGGGCTTGCTGCTTGATAGTGACTTCTTTAGTTTGGTAGGATGACAAAAGACTACTTCAATGACGTAAACCGCCGGAAACTCGAGAGGGTCGCCTTTGGAAGCGTTCGCCGGTAACCCGTCACAACATAATAAAAAGAAATGAGTTTAGCTGACTGAATCCAATCCATAAACCCGAAAATGAAACTTTGTTCCCTTTTGTCAAGTAGATCAAAAAAGAGGTATACGAATGACTTTTGCTTTTCCTTAGACTCGATTGGAACAAAGCTCAGAAAGAAGGGGAGGCGGAATGGAGAAAGGAAAGGGACAAGGGCGGTCTTGCTTGGCGCGAAGGTGGTTTGGGGGTAGGGTACTAAAGGTCCTCGGACTTCCAGGTGGTTTTTCTTTTGGGCAGCTGTTCACCGTTGGATCTCGCCAATATAGCCCCCCATAGTTTTCGTTACCAAGATATCTTTTTTTTCATTGTTCCCAGGGATTTTTTGGGTAATCTGCTCCCATGCTGCAAACAGTCAAATCTGAACTCAACCTTGTCGCTCTTTTTTCTTTCCTCGCGCGCAGGAAGCACACTAGCTGGGTGCCTTGCGTGATTCTACTGTGTTTTTTGCACTTGACTGGGTGGACAGTTGACCGGAAGAGAACTTAGATTCGCCCGGCCATCAGGCGGGCTAGTGCTTATCTTATGTGACAACACTACAGAGCGAGTGGCTCTTCTAGGCGGGCTGCTGCGTGACAAGACTACAGAGAAAGCGGCGCTTTCGTATAACATGTTATGGTCTTAACGCCCTTACGAGGTAGTGATGAGTTTCACGCGCTCTAAGCCTGGCCCGCGGGCGGTTAGGAAGATTGGCCACAATCTGAGCGGTACCACCCACCCTACCCTACCACCTATAGGCGGCCGTCCGTCCTACAGCCGCCCGAAAAGGAACTGCAGTGATCTTGAATAGGAATCCTACAACGATAGATAGAATCCCCATAAAAATACCACTAGATCGAGCACCAGTGATTTCGTATCCGGTCAAAATCTTGGCTAATTAATCGAAGTGGGTAGCTCCAGTAGACCCATGGATCATGGAACAAATAGGGTGGGTAGGCCCAAACACCACACTACACGTATAGACGCGAACCCCCCCGTTACCATACGTGCGACTCTCACCGCATACAACTCGCACAAAGACTCATAAATCCATACCGATTTCTTCCACCTCTCCAATCCTCGATCAAACTTGCATTCCCCAGGCGCTATGAAATGGGGGTCTTGACTTCGCCTATCGTATGTATTGGCTTGGCTTCGTGCAGAACCAAGGAGGCATTCTGGCGGGCGCGTGCGTGTAGGAAGGGAAGGCCGACCACTACATAAGCTAAAGACAACGACTACAAGCAAAACTGGAAGCCACTCGCTTCTATTCCGGTTGGGATTGTCTATCGATGGGAATCTATAGATCTTAGTAATTTGCCAACCTCTCTAAACTAAAATACAGACAATTTCACTTCACGCCACGGAAAAAAAGAAAGAGCGAAGCTCGCTGGGCCTTCCTACGATGACGAATGCTTCTTTTTTCTTCTTGTCAGTCTACAACAAACAAGTGGGAGAGGCAGGATTCGAACCTACGTAGAAAAACATCAACAGATTTACAGTCTGTCGCTTTTGATCGCTAGGCCACTCTCCCCTTCCCGGGCCGAGGCCCCCCTCAACGGGTTCTAAGAAGATCGCGCCCTGAATCAATCAATAAGCTTTTTGATTTGAGTGACTAATTACTATTTATTAGCTTAGCTAGCGTTCTGGGAGAATCGAGTCATTTAGTCAGTTCATAATAATCTTTTTAAAGCAAGGGGCAAAGCTTCGACACTTCCCCCTTCCTCGCTTCTGGCTAAGCTGCGAGTGAATGAGCAAGTAAATGAACAAGCCTTGTTCCTAAAAGGAGTGACCCTCTTTGTTTTATTCCCTTCCCCTATCCTTTCAAAGCTCATAGGTTGGGCGCTCCCGCTTGACTAAGAGTTGTATCGAAAGTCAGGCTCTTCCGCTGAGCTACGAGTCTACCCTTCTTGAGAGCCTACTTAAATAGCTTACGCTTACCAAGCCTAGTCAACAAAAAGAGGGCTACAACAAGCAAGCTTTCCCCCTTTCTTTCTTCTGGGTCGCACCTCACCGCAGGCACTGAATGAATGAAATGAGTGGAGATCTTCCTTCCCCCCTTATTACCAAGAACTTCGTTGAGCTTTAGCCATTGCACTACATCCATCGAGACTACCTAAATCGTCACCCTGTTTTTTCCTTCTTCGAATGACGCTAGTGGAGACAAATTCCTTTGGGCGGCAGACAGTAGTCTTCCCATAGACAAATTCCTTTGGGCGGCAGACAGTAGTCTTCCCATAGACAAATTCCTTTGGGCGGCAGGCAGTCAGATACTAATTCAGTCTTCCCATTCATTTCCAGTGGATCCTTCTTCTCCCTAAGAATTGAAGGCCCACTTTTGATGTCCCACGATTCTTCGAATTGAAGGCCCACTTTTGATGTCCCGATTCTTCCCGTTTAGAAACTCAGGAGAAGGACAGGGGTTGCTAGGTTAGAAAAGTGAGAACTCAAAATTCTCCCCAAGTAGGATTTGAACCCACAATCAGTGGGTTAACAGCCGACCGCACTACCACTGAGCTACTGAGGAACAACAAACTTAAGGAAGCCCACTCTCGTTCTTTGGACCAACTTCTGACTGAACAAAAAAGGGAAAGGGGTGAGTCACTCTTTTTCACATACACAGGGAGAAAAGGTTACGATAGCAAGCCCCGGACGGAGAGCCTCTAGGACAAGGGGGCGGCAGTCAACCATCCACTCTCGAGATTCATATGGATCAATCGTCCTGCCAGTTTGCTAAGTAGACTCACTCTACCGAGTGGCAACAAAGGCTGGAACTATTCCTGCCAAAAACAAGGGACCTACTTCTCATCCTAGGAGTTAGCAAGTATGAAAGAGTCCCCTCTCTCTCTCTCCGAGTTTCGACTACTAAGTAGCACTTCTGCTATTTTATAATGGAATCGATTCTGGTCAAGCTAAAAAAGCCCCCTTCCCTTCTTTATCAAAGTTGACGTTTCTCTCGTGTTAGTCCGACCTTTTTGGATATTTGAAGAAGGAAGGTTTGGAGCCCTATCCAAGGGCAAGGTGCTGGTCTCGATCTCGCTTGGTGGTGCCCTTCTCGATGATTGTTGACTCGACATGGATTTCGTGCTTGAGTTGGGGGGCCCTCCCTCCATCTATCAAGTCAAGTAATTCGCTATCGGCAATTTGTCCGTCCTCATGCCATGCTTCTTCTTTCTTCGAATCGGTTCCTAGTGTCAGTCAATCAAGATTCGCCATCAAGAGAGGGTTAGGTTAAGCCAAGCGAGCCGGTCTCGTCATTCACTTCCCCCGTCCATCGATAACGGGAGTACACATCAGCACATATCGAACGAAAAAAGCGTGAATCCTGGATTCTCTTCCTCAATCAAAATGTCGAGCAATTTCTCCCTATTAATTCGGTCAAAGTCTCCACGGGACCCTCTACGTGGAGGTGCACTATGTTGATAGGAGAAAAGACCAGATTGTACATGTCCTCGAAGGCTGCATTCATGGCAATCATCACTCGTTTCTCCCTCATTTCTTCTTTTTTCTCTTGAATAAGGGCTATCCATGGAGTAAAGGGAGGTTTTGCTACAGTGATTCGGGCGGTTGGTGTCCTCTTCCTCTTCGAGAGTTGCGGGTCTTTCTGCATGAGTGGTAACTCACGCTCAAAACTCCTCGTACACGAGTCTTAGTCGTTGCACAACGGTCTGCTTCCCGGCTTCGCTTGCACGATGATGATTGGTTTCATCCATCCTCGACCTTAATGAAATTGAGTATTCCAGTCAGTCAAGCGGTTCGGGTTCTCGGCAGGTTCCCGTTCGCCTGCCCGCTCCCTCATAGTCCATTAGTGGGTAGGGTGGTAAACTAATAGGGCGCCCGCCTCCTCTTCAGACGTGTCCTCGACAACTTGGCGGTTGTTCGGTCTCCGCTTTGGGGGCAGAAGTGCTTGGTCGCTGGGGTTTCTTCCTTTTCCTCAACCAAAACGAAAAAGGTTGTTTGTGTCAGCCTGGTCTAAGATTTGGTTATGATCTGGGTAGACAAAGAAAGATGGATTGAAGGTCAGTTAGATTGGAGTGAAAGTGGCACAGGACCTTCGATCGACCATGGGGCGTATTCTACCCTTACCGAATTCATTCTATGAAAGCGTTACGTAAAAAGCTCCTTCTCATGTGTCTTGCATTTCTTTGGTTTTTGGAAGTTCCAGAATGTTGTCTTTTGATTTCCTTTGTTGGGAAGCCCCCTTTGATTAATGATCGTTCCGTGCAGCTCGCTACTCCCCGAGGCCAAGGACGCGGTCGAACCGTCATTCCAGGATTTGCAGTCTGATACATTTCCATTATGTTACCTAGCCAAACCCCCCAGCTCATGTGCCAAAGTCAAACGATTATTCTTCCTTCCCCGCTCCCTCTTTTTCTAGATATGCGGTGGCGGGCGGAGCACTCTAGATGACCGGCAGCGGGTTACCATAGAAGAGGGGACAACTTCTTTCTCCCTTGCTCCATTTTCCTTTGATGATTGAAAGTAGCAAGCCACTCCACTACTAGTTAGTACAGAGGCCAGATAGATAGAAAGTAGCAGGCGCACGGACCGTACTCGAGCTTCAGATCAATGTCCCTAGAAGTAAGGAGTACGCCCCCGTCTTTCAACGAGAACATCGAAAAAACCTAATTTAGCTCCACGTAAGATAGCCAAAGTACGGTTGAGCAATCGACATGATATATTTGCTCACATTCCGGGCGAAGGTCATAATTTGCAGGAACATTCTATGGTCTTAATAAGAGGAGGTAGAGTGAAAGATTCGCCAGGTGTGAAATCCCATTGTATTCGAGGAGTCAAGGATTTGCTGGGAATTCCGGATCGAAGAAGAGGAAGATCTAAATATGGTGCAGAAAAACCTAAATCGATATGAATGAAAGATGCCTCTTTCACTTCTTTTTCTCGGTCAGTCGAGGGAAAGGGAACAACCAACCACAATGTTACGCCCCAAAATCGAACTATACGGAGCCCTTCCGAATGACCTCTCATGGAGTCTGCTACACTAGCCAAGAAAGAGTGTATTAGACTCTATTCGCCCGTGGAGGTGAATGGAGGAAGAATCAAAAAAGAGAAAGGTATTGCTACTAAGAAATAGTTGCTCGTTCATAAATGAAGTTGACCAGTTCTTCTTAGTCTTGCTACACCACACGACACGAGGGGTGAAGTTGAAGCAGACACGGACTTCAGTCGACTGAACAAGTGATTCACCATATGGAAATAAGAAAAAAAGGAGAGAAGGGTCTCGCCCAGGTGGCTCCCGCAAGGTAAGGTAACGACTTCAAACTCAAACAAAGAACGTTATTCTCCAAGGCGCATGAGTCAAAGAAAATGTTGTATCTATCTATTGCAAGACCCGTCGATAAGCTAAGGCTACGAGCGGATCATTAGGTCCACCCGGTTGGGCTCAACCTCAGAGAATTGAGTGAACGGAAAAGGGAGGACGCCGGCTAATCTCTTCCAAGGAGTATCGGGGGGTGGAACGGCAAATGAACCTTTTTGAGGCTCGGGCCGAAGAGCTAAAGCAAAAGGCCGCCGAGCTTGTTCATCCTCGTTCCATTCTAGTGGATGAAGAGTCAGATGTGGGGCTGGCAATCAATCTTCTCTTGGAGAAGAAAAGAGAGAGGCGACCTCAGATTCCTCCTTAGAGCGATGAAGGCGATTGAGAATGGCAAAAGCCGCTTTTAGAAAGCCTTCCTCCCTCCTTGAACTCAAAGGATCAAACCCGAATGCTACTGTAGACGATTCCACAGCGTTGAGCTTCAATCAATAGACCATTTCCGTCGAATTTTCTCCTCAGCAATGCCCACTCCCATGCCTTTCTTTGTTGGACCAACCCAACCGGCTATTTCTGACAAGTCTTTCTTCATTTTTAGAGCAAGAAGCGGAACTACAGGGATGAAATGAAAAGTGTTTCTTATAATTACGCCCAACAGCCCACTTGAGCAATTTGCCATTCCCTATGAATATAGGAAACTTTTATTTCTCATTCATAATTCCCTCTTTCTTTATGCTGCTAACTCTCAGTTTGGTCCTACTTCTGGTTTATTTTGTTACTAAAACCGGAGGAGGAAACTCAGTACCAAATGCTTGGAAATCCTTGGTAGAGCTTATTTATGATTTTGTGCCGAACCTGGTAAACGAACAAATAGGTGGTCTTTCCGGATCCGGAAATGTGAAACAAAAGTTTTTCCCTCACATCTCGGTCACTTTGACTGTTTCGTTATTTCGTAATCCCCAGGGTATGATACCTTATAGCTTCACAGTTACAAGTCATTTTCTCATTACTTTGGGTCTCTCATTTTCTCTTTTTATTGGTATTACTATAGTGGGATTTCAAAGAAATGGGCTTCATTTTTTAAGTTTCTCATTACCCGCTGGAGTCCCACTACCATTAGCACCTTTTTTAGTACTCCTTGAGCTAATCCCTCATTGTTTTCGGGCATTAAGCTCAGGAATACGGTTATTTGCTAATATGATGGACTATGCTATGTATGAATAATATTTTCTATTTCATCAAGGACCAGGATCTCCTATGAAATAGATAAAGGACCAGGATCTCCTATGAAATAGAAAATATTATTCATACATAGCATAGTCCAGGACCAGGATCTCCTATGAAATAGAAAATATTATTCATACATAGCATAGTCCAAGGGGAAGAACTGACTTAAACTTAGTGCTTGTGAAACCGATAGGGTCAAGAGTGAAGGATTGAATATGCGAGTTCAGTCTCATTAATCTTGAGTCTTTTCTTGTTTACGAGGTTCAGGAGAATGAATAAATAGGAGTATTGATCCTTGTTTATAGTTCAAGAAGAAATAGCTGAAGGTAAAGTAGCTCTTTTTCGGGTTCTTCTTCTTTTCTTTCTCTTTTGCTTGAATTTTATTCTTCAATCAATTATCTTTTCTTTCTTTGACAGTGAAGGGATAGTCAATGAATTAGCGACTTCTTTACCTCGTGTTTGAAGAAATAAATAGGGAAGGGACATCAAGTTCAGGGGCGAAACCACTTTACAGTGAATAAATAGGTTCAGGAGAGAAGGTGCTTTACTGAGTTTAATCAGGGACAAGTTGAAGGATAATTCATCGAGAGTTGAGTCTTGACTTCCTAATTACCTCGGCCTAAAATATCCCAAAAAATAGACAGAAGATAAAGTTTTTTGATTAATGGTCTTTACAGGAGAATTCATCGGAAAGGTACGAAGCTGCTCGCCGAGTTTACCTCCTTCAATCCATCCGGTCAGTTAATATCGGGGAAGGTTCAATTCATCGGAAAGGTGCGAAGCTGCTCGCTTGAGTTCAGTCTTTACCCTTACAGTTACAGATAATCAATCTTTAGACTTGATGACCCTTACAGTTAGGTCAATCAAACAAAGAGCAGCTACTTCTTTACTACCTTACCTTGTCTTTGAAGTGACATTAGTCTCATTCTTGCTTCTTTAGTCTTTATTTGTTGGAGAGGCAGAAAGAAGAAAGAGGGTTACGACGGTTGAGTAAGTAGTTAGAGGAGAAAGAAAGATTAGTTCAAGCA